AATCACAGAACAGCGCTGGAAAAACCCTGGCCAACTAGGTGGGCTTAAATGCATGTGATGTCGATTTTTCTGGTGCCAGACATGCGCAGGAAATTGAAACGACCTGTTTAAAGCTGACTTCCGGAAGGCATTGAGCTAGTCGTGTACGCATCAAACCACTGCTGTCATCCTAAGTCGAAACCAAGTGCGTGGACTCATGCTAAAGCTGTGATCGACCACTGGTAAAACGTTATCATTCAATAGTTGATCGTTTACCATCCTACCCCGTTCAATAACTTATTCCAACACTTTACAGGAACCATCGTGAAATGGTTGTTCATGTCGAGTGTGTGAAAGGTGAAGGAAACATTATTTGGAGTTATAGGCAAGACATTCACGATAAAGCTGATTCTGTACAAAGCGAAGCGATTCGCTGCGATGTTGCACCTCTTCAGACGCAAATGCAACTATTCATCATATAGGTACTTTGTGTTGATTTGTAATTGGCAAATGGTTTGTGTGATTTTCAGTAAAAATAAAGAAGTGGCAGATCCCAGCCTCAGTTGGTGATGCGCTCTTTCAAACTCAGCTTTCAAATCATTTTGAAACAGACTGATGTTTTCAGTTTCGGTTTCACGAACCTGTACATAGATGATCTACTGTCTGCACTACCATGTATGTGCTCTCATGAGCACGTTGATCCCGTTGTCCGCTTCTCTGTCTTAGATAGTGGTAGTGAAATTTATCACAAATGTTTATAGGTGGTAGCTGTGTGTATGCTTGTTTTCATAACGTTCTTCACATCGCTTTCTCTCATCAGACACTAGCATCTGAACAATAGAACTTGCCTCTAAATTTTAGACCGCTTTTTTGATAGGTGACTCAGCTATGCCACAAAGAATTTTGCCGCCGACTTCGTTATGCGATACCATCAGTTTGATGGCAGGCTAGATAAGTTTTACCGCACTTCCAATTATGAGTGTTTTTCCGTTTACCTTTCCAAGGGAAAACGCTTCAGCGCAGGGATGAAGCTGCATACCCAAAACCATCGCCAGGGTTTATGGAGATACTGTCGCAAAATGGAGGAGGTGCTGCTGTGGCAAGTGGCGCACTATCACATGCGCATGGTCGAGGGTTCGAATCCCGGCTCGATGTGCGCTTGGGCCAACCAAGCCCCCTATCCCTCTTGGGTTGGCTTATTGCTAACAGACTTTCCTAGGAACATCAGAAGCTCTGACTTCTTTATCGGCTAACCACTGCAAGTCATTATATGTAGAGTGAGACTTAATCCACACCCTCACTACGCCACCATGATTCTGATCGGAAGTCGAGAACACTCCTTAGACGGGACTGATCAACCAAAAGAGTTCTTACTCGCTGACATTATATTGTTGCGAAACAAAGACAGCACAAAGTCTCACTTCGCCCTTTAGATACAATAGGAACGTTCCGTGTCAAAAAACGATAACCATTGAAAATAAATCGTAAAAGAAAACAAGCATCGTAAAGATCAATAGGCGTCAGAAAGAAACGCTCTCTATTCTAACTGGGAAACCACGCCGACAAAATTTGTTTGAAACACGTTGGCTCTTCTCATCACTTGTACCGCCTGTTGTTCCAGTGACTATCGATTTGCTCGAGCTCGGGCCAGTAACGTCTCCATTCGTCCCTGGAAGTCAATGTATGTATTTCACTTAACCCTACTCGCTCCTATGGCACGAGGCATGTCATTAAAGAGATTATGACGACAGAAGTGGCATGGGAATGATACTTGCAATTAGAGGGATTTTACGTCCCGTGAACGTGTGGTACAGCAACCCTTGGTACACCGCCACCCACCCTCGGGGGCTTCACCCGGGGTACCTTTGCTCTCTTCGCGCCATATATGTGACGGGTGTTCAGTGGTGCTTCAGCGTGTGTTCAGGTTACTCTGTAGCACATTCACTGGACGATTAAATCCGTCTTGTATACTTACATTGCGTGCTATTGCGTAGAGCTGGCTACAGTAAGTCAAAAATGCCTAATACATATTGTCGTCCACTGTCGCCATTGGTCACGACTAATTAATTGAATTTTTGACACGTGTGCTTTGTTGAGAATGGCGCATTCTCAACAAGGTCGCTCTGGATTTGGATGTGTGCGCCGGCCTCCTCAGTATTCCCTGCTTACCTTCTATTTCGACCATGACAGCGTTCAGTGTGCTGTACTTAAAGGCACAGTTCACGATAATTTTGGGTAATATAGATTATGATGAAAAATGGAAGACAAGATCAAAACTAGTGCAACTGAGGTGAAGAAACCGCGTGCATCGGTTATTCCAAAGTGAAAAAAGGCTTCAAAAAACTAAAGGGGGCTGGACGAGAATGAAACCAGAAAAATGAAGAAGAGTGGGCGTCCGGACGAGCTGAACAGTGTGTTTCACTGCGCGCGTGTGGGTCCTGGTGCGAATAGCAGACAATGATAAGCAAGAATTCATCCACTTATAAGCATAAATAAACAAAAAAACCCTAGTAACAGCAAAAGTAGCTC